TTTTCTTTAAATTCTTTCTTTTTCCCTTTGCTAATAAATAAATCTAAACATTTAAATTATTTCTGGTTGTAAATGAGCCTAGTTTACTCTGCAGATCATTAACCCCCAGGACAATTAATATCACATAGAATAGTTCATGATAATGCATTGGATCCTTGCTCTCACGCCAATTAACTTTTTTCAATAGTTTTAATTTAATTTTAAAATGTCCCTTTCCCCCATAAAACTGAAAAGTCATTTCTAGGTATAATATTTACAGACTTTTACTTGTGAAATCTCATAAATTATTTGTGTTTGATCATTCTACTTCAATATTTGAATTTGTAATCACCTCCCCCAAAGTCTTCAGAGACCTGATTCACCTTAGAAATCCATGCTAGAAATTTAAAATTGGGTATGAGAGAACCAGTATCCTTTTGAAAGTTTACTCTCTCAGATGGGCAGAAAGAAGTGTTGTCAAGAAACAGCCTCATTATTCTACTAGTGAGATGGGTTCAGTGGATTCACTCCCTTAAAGAAGATCTCTCTCTCTCTCTCTCTCTCTCTCTCTCTCTCTCTCTCTCTCTCTCTCTCTCCCAGAAGCAGGAGAGTCATTCATCAAAAGCCAGTGGTCCACAGACATAAAAGGCTGGGAATGTACCTCATATCTCTGTAAGTCTCTCAATCTTGCAGTGGATAGTCTGATTTATCAGCAGGTGTGTCCATTTTCTGTTGGAAAAAACAGGGCACCTGACCTTGCAGAAAAGGGGCATATTTTGGCTCATGTTTCCAATGACTGAAGAATTCAGCATTGGGCAGTTGTGTCCAGTGGGGACCATGTTGAGCCAACTCATGGCAGAAAACACAAGAATATAAGACACATAACTAGTGGAAGGGGAGGGACAATGTCTCACAATAACTCACCTATGCCTATTATAAAATGGAATGTTCTACTGAGGAGAGATCATATTATAATCATATTATAATATGATTATATCTATGAGGGATTATGGTGACATTACTATTAGATTGATGTGCCCATGACAGAGCAAAATTATTTTAGGTGACAAAGATCCAAGAAATGTGGGGCCTAGAAGCTGGAAAGAGACCACTGGTCCAGGAAAAAAAGAGACTTTAAGCATGTTAGGGTAGTGGAATACATATGGTAGTAAATAAAGGCACTGCAGGTTGAAGGGCTTAAGTGGGAGTGAAGGTCAGGAAGATGGGAAGGGGGTAGAAGTCAGAGCAACCCAAACTTAGGACTTGTGAGAAAGCATCTAGGAGCTTTGCAATTGTGTAATCTAATTCTAAAATGCAAGTGAAAGGGAACAAAAGGAATTTGAAGGGCTGTACCTCTTGTTGATGGACAAGGCTGCTTCCAGAAGCCAGAGGATTTAAATGAAACCCCAGTTGTTGGTCACGGAGGCATCTGAAGCCTCCGAAACAATTCAAGCTATTTTGCTGCTCTTGATTGCCCACCAGAGCTAGATGTGATAGCCTACTTCTAAAAATGTCACAGGCTTTGGTTTGGGGACATAGAGAAAGCAAGGTGGAAATGAGCTGGAAGTTTCTGCCTTACTGACAAGAATTCATAGGACAGAAGAAACGTCATCAATAATTTCGCCTAGCTGTGAACTGCATCCTATCTGTACCACTGAAGCGCCAGGAAAGGTCTTCCTATAAGTGCAATGCAATGAGTGTTACAGAGGCAACACACTGCTTTCTTATTGCATTTGAACCCACTCCATAAAAGGGAATTCATGCCTGCTATTATAAACCTGAACAATAGCCCATGGCTTGGTAGATCACAGGACCTATGGTCAATCTGTTATCTTTATTTTATTAAGTGAATGTGCTATGTCCATCAAACTGCCTTCTAAATAGTGAAGATTTTATGTTAGGATTCCTCTTGGCATTGGCTGGAGAAACTTTTGTAGAGTGGGTGGCAGTTACTGTAGAGGCTTATGGCTGGTGAAAGTGCTGAGATAAATGACTAGTGTATGTTAGTTATAGATGATCACCAAAAGAAAATTATAGAAAACTTTCAGCACCATATCTTAAAAAAAAGAGTGATTCCAAAGAGCAAATCTCACTTTGCGGGAAGACCAGGAGTGTGTTCATCACCCCAACCTTATTCCCTTCTGATGACTCAGTGCATGGATGTCATTGACTGTTACTCTCAGGAAAGAATTAAACACATTGCTTATTGTTTGAAGAATGACTTAATAGTATTTATCACTGCTCACAAGGCAAATTGAGCCTTTTACAAATTTGGTGCAAGACAATATCCTGTTAGGGAAGCCATTATTTATTAAATCCCCAGAAGAAGCTTGAAGCCTCTTAAAAATACTCTGAAATGTACAAAAATTCAATAAAAACAAATTTTGTAAAAAATGCTATCACAGTCGGGTGTGGTGGTGCACACCTTTAATCCCAGCACTCCGGATGCAGAGGCAGGTGGAGCTCTGTGAGTTCAAGGCCAGCCTGGTCTACATAGTGAGTTCCAGGACAGCTGGGGCTACAGGGAGACCCTGTTTCAAAAAGACAAAAAAAAAAAAATAATTAATAAGATGAATCATGAGATGTCAGGAAACTTCATCTTCTACAAAAGGAGCAGAGAACACTGGAGAAAAATGGTCATAATTATCTTTTTCAGGATGTAAAATCTACCCAAGATTTGCAACAATACAAAGAGCATTTATTTAAGGAAAATGGCTGATTTCTCATGATTGCGGATATTGAAGCATTTAAGTTTTCTATCTTATTTTTACCCATCTGTTAGAAATGTTGCCATAACCTTAAAACCCAGCAGTCTAGTAGCCGGGGCTGTGAGATGGCAGCAGCCAGTATCACTGATGTCTTCAAGTGGCTTGGATGTTCCCCACAACCACTTAGCAAACCATTGGTTCTATTTGAAAGCACTGACAGCCCCCTGGAAACCCTGTTCTCACGCTTGTCTCTCTTTGAGCTGACTCAATATCCTCTGATAATAATGCTATCCAAAGCCATTTGTCAAAAACAAACTCTAGCAATTTCACCACAGCTGCCTGAGGCAGTGATGTCATTGGGAGCAAACAAGTTTCATCAAACTTCTTTAGAAAATGGGGAAATTGGATATTCAGAGGGCAGCTTGAAAATGTCTAATAAGTCAGTTTAGAAGATACCCGGACAAAGAGATGTGGACAGGTCCAGGGATGATATGGGAATGACCCCCAATCATAACTAAGGTGTGCATTGAGGCCTTGTACAAAAAGGAAAAAAAAAACCCAAAGTCAACTGGAGAGTTTTACGCCACCACAGTCTGGAAGGTACATCTCCAACTCATTCACAAAGCTAGGCCCTCAGCAAAGCTCTGGCCCTACAGGGGCCAAGTGTATGTGATAATCCTCTGTAACCATTCAGTGACGAAGCTACGAAAGCAGAAGAAGCCTGGGACTATCCATGATGAAGAACACTGCAGAATTAGCACATGAACTGCTCTCCATCCTTCTGCCTTCCACCATGGGCTGAAGACCTCTTGCTGTCCAGTAATCTCCAGACCTTCACTTGCCAGATGAGGACTGCTGAGTATCGAGCCATGAGAATGAACAGCTACTGGACCATGACATCTACAGTGTGCAGTGGCACACTGCTGGACTCCTGGACCAAATTATGCAAGCCAGTCTAACCAAACCTTTGTAATATACATTCACTGTATTGGTTTTGTTCATCCAGAGAATCCTCACTAATACAGATGATTAAGAGGCTGAGTAAACAAAAAATCATTAAAAAACATGTATTTTAGGATAAATCTTTGAAAAAATAGAGTTGTTTGAAAGAGAATTTAAAAAGGCAATATCTTTACTCATAACTTTCTCAAATTGCATTGTGTCCAACAATCATTAAAGTACTTGGAATTCTCAAAAATCCTTATAGATACATACATTTCCCAAATTACTTAAATGATCCAAAGATATGAGACTAAAAGAGAAACCCACTTAATTCAATCAACAATCAGAACTGTGCTTTATGTGGTAGACTTTAATGAGACAAAATGAATAAGCAATGAACCTTGTCTTTGAAATGATACCAGTCCCACTTAAAGCAGATTCCAGTAGAGGGAATCACCATATTTCTCTTTATAAACAGACAAAGTGGTGTCTCCATTTTCTAAATGTATTCTTTATTATTGACTATTGCACTCATTTTCAAAGTTAAATTAACAGATAACAGCTGTTAAAAGCAACATTTTAACAATCTGTCAGTTCATTCAAAACAGGTATCTGTCAGCATGCAGAAGACAGTGCCAGCTGGGGTACTAAAATTATATCGACTCAATTGTTAGTCTTCCATAGCAAGACAAAAAAATGGTCTAAAATAATATAATTACCTGATTTGTGACTTTTCACAATTTCAAATATGCAAGGGTACAGCAACTAGAAAAAAACTGGCTATGTTTCATCTTAATATCTTCATGGACTAAGAACCTAAGCACTATTTTTTAGGAAGGTTGAATGGACCTTTCATTTGCCACTGCTTTTCTAAGTCACATAGAGTGTTCTGGGCCAGCATGGTCACCCATGCCTTTAATCCAGCAGAGACAGAGGCACAGGCAGACAGATCTTTGTAAGTTCGAGGCTAGCCTGGTATACATACCGAGTTGCAGGCTAGCTGGGGCTACAGGGAGAGCTTGTCTCAAAAATAAAAATAAAAGTGTGCTCTGTACATTCCAGGTGATTAAGGGAGTGCCATAAAGATATCATGGGTATTGATTGTATTAGGATACCACAAAAGTATGTATCAACCATCAACTCTCAACAGGGGATCCCAGGAATGGATTCATTCAAAGCATCTCCATCCTGGAGCAACAGAGTCATTGCAGAGACCACAGTTACTTTCACATACTCGAAAGTTTGAGATTCATTATTTTATTTTTTTAGTTGAATTTTTGCAATTTTTTATACAATACAGTTTGATGGTATTTAGAACCCTTCCCTTATCTACACTTGTCCCCACTGCCCCCTGCCTAATTTAATGTGCTCAAAAATATGGAACTCCTCACTAATTTGCATGTCAGTCTTGTGCAGGGGCCATGCTAATCTTCTCTGTATTGTTTCAGTTTAAGTACATGTGCACCAAGACAGCACTTGAGATTTACTTTCAGGAAATGCCATATCTCACTACATATTTATGTAAATACTTTGGAATTAAAGCCCCACTGTTGATTTTTATCTTAGCCCATCTCTGAAACAGCTTGTTTGTTCTCTTCTGAGTTTAAGAATTAGGAAACAGACAGGCATTATTGTTCGCTGCATAAACATACATTGGAGAATTGCATATTGAGAATTTTGTTTTGGTAATTGGATAAAAGGACTTCGGAAAACACAAGGCAGCATCTCAGGCTGGTACTTTGTACAAATCTTTTACATGCCAGAAATTTATGTCTAAACTGTTCCTTAGGAGATGTTCAAGAGATTTTTTACTTTTCTGCATCAAACAAACATATTCTAGCTGGGCATCATCTTTTATGGAAAAGGAAACTAGATTTTTTAAAAAAATATTTTATTTATTATTTTTATTTTATATGTATGAGTGTATTGCCCGCATGTAGGTAGGAGCGCCCACTGTGTCGTGCAATGCCACAGAGGTCAGAAGAGGGCTTCGGATTCCCCTGGAACTGGACTTAAGTACAGTTCATAGCTGCCATGTGGGTGCTGGGAATTGAACCTGGGTCCTCTGCAAGGGCAGTCAGTGCTCTTAACTGCTGAGCCATCTCACCAGCCCCTCAAAGTTAATATTTTTAAAGAAATTTTATTATTATTATTTTATGTGTATCAGTGTATTGCCTGCATGTGTGTAAGTGAACCTGTGTCCTGCAATGCCTGCGGAGGTCAGAGGCTGGTTTTAATACATAATACCTTTGAAAGTCAGTGAAAAGTAATGATTCAGACCTGGTTATAAAAATGTCTTCACAGGATGCAAGAGTATAGTGATGGTGATGATTCCAGTTCTTACTTCCTATATTCTCAGTGCTGCTTGCGACTCTTTCCTTCCTTCTCCTTCTTCCTAAGCATCCTTTGCATCACTTGTGCCCTGAACTCTAGGGATAGCAGAAGACAGGAGAAGCTGGGTGACACAGGATGGGTTCTGAAGCCGAGGAGTCCGTGTTTGGGTCCTCCTCTGCTTGATTTTTATATGTAAGCATGTTCATATTTACATTTACTTATGGAATTGTAGTAAGATGTTAGACACACTCATTTACATTTCATACTTCATATATCTTACACGGATTTTATATGTGTTTTATATATACTGAAGTAGGCACATACTGCATAGTCACCACTGATAAAACTGAATTTGCATGTATACATCTTTAGCAATTAATTTATTTACATATTTATATACTCATATTTTGGTGCTTATGAATGCATATTTTATAAATATACATGTTCTTATCATTATATATAACATACATAAAATATATCTATGTATACTTGTATGTGCATTCATGTCATCTATCACATAGCATTATATGTATATATATATCTCCCATGGTAAGTTCTTTTTTTCTTCTACAGAGGTATTTTATTTGTATGTATGCTTTTATCTCTGAAATAATAAACCCCCAATTTTTCCTCCTATGTGTTTTCATCTTGCTTCATCATGGTCCATGATGGCAGCCAAGGTTGTCAACACAGAGAAACAAGAATGGAAGGATGGAAGCAGATTATTCTGACATTCTCCTATGTCTTTAAGCAACATGTGTAGCATGAAGCTGGCAGATGGAGCAAGTCTTAATTAAGAGAGACTACTAATCTCAAACATATCACACATAAATCAAATAATGTCTAATAAGGATAAAATAATTAAGTATAACACATATAGATAGATAGATGATACATAGATAGATGATAGATAGAAGATAGATGATACATAGTTAGATGATAGACAGACGATAGATGATAGATAGATAGATAGATAGATAGATGATAGATAGATGACAGATAGATGATAGATAGGTAGATGATAGATATATAAATATATACATGATAGATAGATAGATAGATACATAGATAGATAGATGATTGATAGATAGATAGATAGATAGATAGATAGATAGATAGATAGATAGATAGAGGTGAGAGAGATTAGGTAGATGAATACAGGTAGATACTTGATAGATTAAAAAAAATAGACTGATAATATTTTAAATTCCCAAGTGTAAAACATCTTGACTGGTGCTATTTTATTATACTGAATCCACATAATAATTTCTAGGTTGGTCAGAATTTCTAAAATGTAAAAAGTGATTTCCAAGTAGATACCACATAGAATACTTTTTCTGACTCTGAAATATTTTATTCTCTAATACTACAATGTTGTGAAATTGAAACCTTTTCAAAAAGATACCAAAAAATTTAATTCACCTCTCCATTAATAAATCTAAATGTTGTTCTCTTGTATGACTTGTTAGAACTAGAAAGGCAGAGAAAAATAATGATCACAATGAACTTAAAGTAATGATTAAGAATTTATAAGACTATGGGCATACGTATATACATGTTAGAGTACACCAATTGAGTGGGGGCAGTAAGGAGAGATGGGGATAGATGAAGGGATCTAAAATCATCAAATGATATTTAGTGAAAGTCTAAAAAATTCCATTAATTGTTTTTTAATTACACTATAACTTTGTACACAAAAAGTGAACTTACTGGAAAGATTAAAAAAAAAAAAAAGCCAAGAAATTATCTGTGGAAAATATGCACTTAAAGTTTTCCTTAAGAAAAAAAAGAGTCCACAGTTGATTGTCTTTCCTCCTCTTCCTGTCACATGTGGCTCTCACTGTTGGGCTGGCACTGGGCACTTTAAGGTAAAAGATCCTTTACCTCTTTCTGTAGGAGAGGAAGTGCCAGGCTTAAGCACAGGCTTCACTAAGGGAACACAGCTTCGGCTCTGAGAGCGCAGCCTGCATGTCTGCAAAATAGCCAAGCTACAATCTGCCCAGATGAGGGGATCTATCAGGAAGCAACACACCAACTTATGGGACACTGGGGGCAGGGGGAGAGGTATATAAGGCCTGCACTTCCCAGCAATAAATGAGTCTGCAGCACCTTGCCTAGTGCCTGCACTCGACTCCCAGAGTCTGTGTGTTGACTCTGTGCCACTCACCCCCACCTCAGCCAGAACCCTCGTTCCCTGCAGTCCCTTGTGGGCTGGACACATGAGGAAACCTGCAACAGCTGGTGCCTGAACAAGGTTCCTGGCCCCCTGGTGTTGGCGATGCCCCCAAATTCGGTTAGTTCAGTGAGTAGGCCCCGGGTTTTGCCTGTGCATTCGGCTGCTTGAGGGTGAGCAAGTGGCCCCCTCCTTTGTCCCCCCTACCCTGTTTGTCATATTTGTTGTTAAATCAGGAAGGCACACTCTGCCGCGTGGTCCCGAAGCCCACGTCAGCACCTTTCCCTTCTCAGATCTTTCTGGTGAGTTCACATAACTGCTAATCCACCCCAAACTAAGAGCCCTGGCTTCAGGTCGTCCTGTTGCCTGTCCGGGAGACACCGTGTGAGCACACAGCTGGAGGTGTCATGGCCTCCAGAAGTCCCTCACTAAGCACAGGACATTTAGATCTGATACACCTGTTCATGTTGGGGCGGTTTATGTCCGATTGACTCACGGTCCTTGTTTGCTTCATTTGTGCCTCTTGCTAGTCACCCTTGCCTTTTACTTTTGAGGCGACCTAGAAAAACCTTCAATAGAGAACCTGACACTGTCATGCTCCCCTTTCCCTTCCATAGCCTACAGGCACTCTGGGCTGATTCCGTAAGTTTTCAGAACATGATGGCAGGCTTCCCTGGCACCACTGACAATCATCTTCCCCAAGGTAAAAGAATTCAGGCCCTTCTCACATTGCCGCTTGAAGTTAAGCCCCACAGCACTCCTTCTTCCCCAATTCCCTAAACGACCATTGCCTTTTCGGACACTAATAAGAAGAAATTTGGGGTCCTGATACATTGTCCTGGAAAAAAGGATATCACCCACATCGTCCCTAATCCCGGCTCTGTCCAGTTGGGAGAACTTCTTGCTGTACTTAAAGCTTTAGCAGAGTGCCAGGATGAACCTCTAAATCTCTTTTCTGATAGTGCCTATGCTGTTCAGGCCGCTAAGGTCCTCACCTTTTCTCATGTTAAAAACTCCTCCATGCCACTCCACCTCACTATGGTCAAGCTACAGGGATGCTTACAAAATAGAAGTTACCCATGGTACATCTCACATACCTGGTCACATACTGCACTTCCCGGATTCCTAGCTCTAGGGAATGCTGCCACAGATACCCTGATCATGACAGTCCAGTCTAGCCCATTAGAAAAATCAAAAGCTTTACAACAATTCCACCTGTCCCTTCAGAGTATTCATAAACTCCTCCCAGAAACCCCGTGTCCCAATGCAAGCACCTTGTCTGCTCATGTGCTACTTGTGCCCCACTTATGCCTCTCGGGCCTCTTAACGGGAGGAGTGAATCCCTGTGGTTTGACACCCAATGCCATTTGGCAGATGGACATGACTCACTACTCCCCTTTTGGGAAATTGAGATTCGTTCATGTTAAAGTTGACACATGCTCTTCCCTTACTTATGCTTTAGCTCTCTCAGGGGAAAAGACTATACATGCCATTAAAGCTATAAAGTCCTCCATGCTAATCATGGGCATACCCCGGGCACTTAAGACTGATAATGGGCCCATTTATTCCTCTCAAGAATTCAATAAATTTGTTTCCTCCTGGGGAATCAAACATACCTTTGGTATTCCCTGTAACCCACAAGGACAAGTCATTGTCAAAAGGGCCAACAGGGCACTTAAGTCCCTCCTGGCTAAAAGCCCCTTGGCTGAGGCCAAAAGTGACCCTCACCTGGCTCTTACTGAGGCTTTGTTCCACCTTAATTTCCTCATGTTTGATGACCGGGGTCTCAGTCCAGCATACAAATATTGGTCCTTCTTGCCTTGGGCTACACCCCTGCCACTAGTTAGGTGGAGGGATCCAATTTCATCCCTGTGGCAGAAACCAGCCCCCACCTGACACGAGGATGAGGATATGCTTGTATTTTTCCACAGGACGCTAAAACCCCCATCTGGATTCCACTGAGAGACAT